AAAAAACTGCAACTCACTTCTGAAATTGTACTTGTTTAAAAAAAAAAAAAAAAAAAAATCACACCACAACTTTAAAGGCCTATACACGTGTTAATTTGTATCAGTATATGGGAAACAGATACTGTGGATAACTAGTATCCACAAAGATTAGAAGTCAAATATTCATTCTTCCCTAATGGTCCCTAACTGTGTGACCTTGGGAAAGTTACTCAGAGTTGCTCTCTGAAGCTTATTTTTCGCACTTGTAAAGTGGGGATATTCATACAGTTATTTTCCTTCCATGTATAGCTCAGAGAGTCATTGCAAAATGCTTTGGAAGTTGTAAAATATGCTGTAGACGTTGATTTTGGTTTGTTTGGGTGATTAGTACCACATAATCCAGTGGACAGAATGTCAATAGATTACACACTTATTACCCTAACAGTGACAATTTCAAAAAATACACTTCTCAGAAAGGATATCCATTTTGGGTCAATGCATATGGCTATTGAATCTGTGGACCACTCAAGGGTAGACACACCACAGCCTGGCTGCCAAAGTGAAATGTTCCAGCCACTGAGGCAGACAGAATTAAATCAACCTCATTGTAAGTATCAGGAAGCCCGTCTCCCAAGCAGCTCTTTCCATGACTTCTAATGGATAGCAAAATCGGAAAATTTGTATTCCTCATGGGTTTGATAGTGACAACACTGGACAGAGAATTGTGAGCTGGGTTCCAGGCCCAATTGTACTTTCTGACTGTGTGATCACAGACAAGTCATTTATCACTGCTTAGCTGGAAAAGTGAATAACGCAATCTACTCTGCAGGACTTTTAGGAGGCTAAAGTAAGTTTGCGTATGAAATGTCATTTTGTAGACTGCAAAACACCAAACAAATGTAGTATTAGTATTCTTCCCAGACACTGAGGGAGATGTTACTGAGCACTAAAATTTCCTCACAGGTAAACAGCAGAAGTAGAGAGAGCGTGGGGGCGACAGGGCGGCGGGTGGGGGGGGTGCGGTACGGAGGTAAAAAGCAAAAGGCCTGGATAATTCACAAACTGGAATAACCAATTCCTGAGTGATATAGACTTGGCCAACCTCGGTCCAATGTAGAGCTCTGGGCCAACTTCAGTGGCTGGAAAATGGGGCCTATCAGGGAAAGTTGAAGGGACTGTTTCTTTTACAGAAAAGATAGATGAGGCTGGGCACAGCAGGTCATGCCTGTAATCCCAGCGCTTTGGGAGGCCAAGGTGGGTGGCTCACGAGGTCAGGAGTTCAAGACCAGCCTGATCAACATGGTGAAACCCTGTCTCTACTAAAAATACAAAAATTAGCTGGATGTGGTGGCATGCACCTGTAATCCCAGCTACTCAAGAGGCTGGGGCAGGAGAATTGCTTGAACCCGGGAGGCAGAGGTTGCGGTGAGCTGAAATCGCACCACTACACTCCAGCCTGGGTGACAGAGTGAGACTCTGTCTCAAAAAAAAAAAAAAAAAAAAGATAGATGAGAGGGAACCTGTGCTTTCCAAGTACAAACAGGCAGCCTTGGCAAATGTGGCCAGCAGCTGTGTGCCATTTCCAGAGAAGGGCCTGACAGGTGGCCAGTGAGGATCTGTTCAGATAGGCAGAGTGGGAGTTTTCTGTACCATACAGCAATTGGGCAGGCCAAAGCCAGCACTAGAGCTGCTGTGAGCTGGTCACGTACTCAGCTGATAGCCCCTGGCAGGCTGAGCAGAGCAGGGGATGCAGTAGCACAGTGTTTGGTCATGCTGAATAAACAGACTGGACCCTCAGAGTGAAAGTTTTGTCTTTGTGAGATGGAGCTAAAGATGCCCCCTCAGACAGGGACCTTACTTTGGCAGGTAGCTCACCCCAGAACTAAACTGCACTTTAATCCCTAAATTCATTCCTTGTGACAATTTACTACAGCCTTACATGACCCTAAATACACAGCAAAATTCTAGGCTGGGCATGGTGGGGCATGTCTGTAATCCCAGCTACTTGGGAGTCTGGGGCGGGAGGATCAGGGAGCCCAGGGGTTTGAGTCCAGCCTGGGCAACATAGTGATAGTCTCATTCATTCGTTCATTTCTTATCTGTTGAGCTGGTACTAGTGAGAGTTACACACTGGTAGATAAACCAGGGTGAATATCACCTCAGTTTTTCCAGGAGGAAGTACACTGAACAAGTGTACTTGTACTAAAGACAAGCTTAGTGAATAACTGTGGTATAAAGTAGAGGGATGGAAGGCAGGGGGTGGCTTGAGGCCAGGAGTTCAAGACCATTCAGGGCAACATAACAAGACCCTGTCTCTGCAAAAAATAAAAAAATTAATTAGGCTGGGTGTGGTGGCTCACGCCTATAATCCCGAACTTTGGGAGGCCAAGGTGAGTGGATCACCAGGGGTCACGAGTTCGAGACCAGCTTGGCCAACATGGCAAAACCCCATCTCTAGTAAAAATATAAAAAACATTAGCCAGGCATGGTGGTGGGCACCTCTAAGCCCAGCTACTCAGGAGGCCGAGGCAGGAGAATCACTGGAACCTGGGAGGTGGAGGTGGCAGTGAGCGGAGATCATGTCACTGCACTTCAGCCTGGGTGACAGAGCAAGACTCTCTCTAAAAAAAAAATATATATATGTGTGTGTGTGTGTGTGTGTGTGTGTGTGTGTGTGTGTGTGTGTGTGTGTGTGTATAGCCAAAGTGATGGCACCCAACTGTAGTTTCAGCTACTCAGGAGGCTGAGGCAGGAGGATGACTTGAGCTCAGACAGTCAAGGCTGCAGTAAGCTGTGATTGTGCTGTGGCACTCCAGTCTGAGCGACAAGAGCAAGACCCTGTCTCAAAATAAAACAATAATAATAATTAGAGGGAAAAAGGAGCACTATGAAGAGTGAGCCATGGATTCAGGGGTAGGAGGCATCTCTCCTAACTATAGAGGAGAATAATACCATAGAGGAAGTAGCACTGGGTTAAGGGACTGAGGACAGGGAGATTTTGGCAGGGCAACCAACAGCAGGAAGAGTGTTTAGGGCAGTGGCTATAGCATGAATCTGTGTGTGTAAGTGGGTAGTTGATCTTTTATTATTCACGGGTTTTACCATGTCTTTAACAGAAGTGTAGGCCTGTTAAGAGCAGTGAGTGTGGCCCGGCTCGGTGGCCCACACCTGTAATCCCAGCACTTTGGGAGGCAGCAGGGCGGCAGGGGGGAGGGGTGCGGATCAGAAGGTCAAGATCAGGAGTTCAAGACCAGCCTGACCAACATGATGAAACACCATCTGTAAAAATAAAAAAATTAAAAAAAAAAAAAGATGGGCATGGTGGCGCGTGCCTGTAATCCCAGCTACTCAGGAGGCTGAGGCAGGAGAATTGCCTGAACCCAGGAGGCGGAGGTTGCGGTGAGC